TTATGGGGCTTTGAGGTCACACAGCCAACGGGCAGACAGAGGGCCAGGCAATGTCATGAGGTTGATATTTGCCTGTACACACATTCCCTGCATACACTTAGAAGCTTCATTGTGTCCTGCAGGGGTTTTGCCTCACTGAAGGCTTCTGCAGGACACAGCATCAGGTTTACTCTAAGCTGGAGAATTTTAATTCTGTTGCAACACCAGGCATTGATGAAATTAGGCAGAGGGGATCTGTGGTAACTCAGTCCTCTCCTGACCTCTAATTCTAGATTGACCCTCAGAAATGATCAAAGCTCCACAGTGTAGGAACCAAGAGGATGGAGGCATTACAACTTCTCACCTGAAGACACAGCTTATCTGACAAGTGAAAAATTACATGCAGTGAAACAAGTACTTCAGCTATGTGTGAACTTTTATTCTGCAAAACAAGGACTGTGGTTAAGGCCATGAGATTAATTGCTCTGGCACCAAGCTTGGCATGATCAGTGTGGGTCTTAGGTGAAGAGTTCCCTCTGAGCTGGAGTAGCTCTTGGGCACAGTACTACAGCTGGGGAGAAATAACCTCCTGTACAGGGTAGGGGCTGGTCTGCCAGAAAGGAGCTCTGCAGAAAAGGACCATATGGGTTGGCTGTGAACCAGCAGTGTGCCCTGGTGACCAAGAAGGCCAATGGTATCCTGGAGTGCATTACAAAGAGTGTGGCCAGCAGGTTGAGGGAGGTGATCCTCCCCCTCTGCTCTGCCGTGGTGAGGCCACATCTGGAGTGCTGAGTCCAGTTCTGGGCTCCTCAGATCAAGACAGGGATCTCCTGGAGAGAATCCAGTAGAGACCACAGAGATGATGAAGGGCCTGGAGCATCTCCCATATAGGGAAAGGCTGAGATAGAGAGAGCAGGAGCTGTTCAGTCTAGGGAAAACAGAAGCCTGAGAGAGGATATTATGAATGCTTATAGTTATCTAAAAGTGGGGAATCAAAAAGATGGGGCCAGGCTCTTTTCAATGGCACCCAGTAACAGGACAAGGGGCAGTGGGCACATATTGAAACATGTATGGAACTTCCATATAAACATGAGGAATTCCTTACTGTGAGGGTTACAGAGGACTGGAACAGGCTGCCCAGGGAGGTGGTGGAGTCTCTTTTTCTGGAGATACTTAAAATCTACCCGGACACTTTTCTGTGCAACCTCCTGTAGGGAACCTGCTGCAGCAAGGGGTTGGACTCGATGATTTCCTCCAACCACTACTATACTGTGACTCCGACTCACAGTAGATGAAATTTCTGTCAGTGAAGGCACTCTAAACAATTAAGAATGCAATTACACAGCCCAGAGCACAGCTGTATTCACTTGCTTTGAAAACAAAGGACAGCACTACCTTCTGCACTTGCGTATGGGTCTTTCAGCCTGACTGCTCTGCTCGAGGTACTGACTGGAGATGTTTCATTGTATGTGCCTCTACGTATTGTTTTGTGAAGGTTTGTTTTAGTGGGCTGGATGTAATTAGAGAGTTTTGCAGGACAACCTTTTGGGATGGCTGGAGGGAGAGGAAATGTTAGTTTGGCCATCTGTTGAGATGCCTTTTATAGTAAGAATCACTTCTCATGCCTCTGTCTTCTCAGTATGGGATGGGGTGTGGGGGTGTTAGAGAGCTGCTGTAAGCTTGGATACACTTGGAGTTGTGTTTGGGGTTGTCAGATGGTCCCATGCCTGGTTGAAACAGGCTCGCCCTGGACTTGCCAACCATTTGGTCAAGGCTGATTCGCAGCATTCACGTGTCCAGGCGCGGTTAGGGAGCTGATAATAACTTTCTGACACTGAGCATTCCCCGATTACTTTGGTGAAATGAATTTCTTGCTTATAAAGGCCCAGAGCCTGATTTTTTGACTGCTTTCACTTTGAAAGTAATTGCTGTAAGTTGTGCAGATGGCAAGGTATTTTTATACTGGCGCCTTCCACAAGAGAGAGGGTTATTTACATTACAGCCAGGTGCCGTTATTCAGGTCAGTTATTTATTAGCTGGAAAGTGCAGCTCTATCGTCACATGAAAGAAGTTGTGAGTTTGGACTGAACTCAATAAATAGTTGAGGCTGTCAAAACCAGTTGGGAAGGAGGATGGCTGGAAAAGCCTGGATGTGTCATCTTTTATTGGAGGCAACTCGAGGCAAATTGAACTAAAAGCCAGTTTGTTCAATTAAAAATAAATAAATGAAACATTATAATTCATCTTGGCTCGTGCGAGGTGCTTCCATCTGCTCAAAAGGAAATATTTTGTTGCAGGGGTAATGTTTTTTGTTTCATGTCAACGTAAGGTAATTCCACCTTTCTCCCCCCATTCCTTGGTTCAGCACTGAATCAAGCAATCAATTATTCAGGCAGACCTAATATGCATATGGTAATTTTGTCCATATTTAAATATACCTCTGGACGGGCAATCAAGAGACCTGGATTTTATTTCCAGCTCTGCTCCTGTGTCTGATGTGACCTTGGGCATTTATTTGCACCCAAAGTCCTTCTTTTTTTTAGGGCAAGAGGGTGGATTTGCTGCTTATTGGTGATACTAAAATAGCAGGGAGGTCTTTTTACTTCTATTGCTAGCAATTAAACATTTAGGTATCACTAATGCATGCTTTTGGAACTTTCCCAGTGTGAGTTAGCTGCACTGCTTAACAAAACTCCCTGTAGTTTACTTAATAGGTCAAAAGGAATTTCAGCTGCTGAAATAGCAGCGCTTCCTTAAAACAAAACCTATTATAATGAGCCCTACTGAATCAAAGAAGGAAAATACAAAGGGGAAAGATTTTCCCTTCCTTTCCTAAGTATTTCACTTTGTAATCAGCTCTCCAGATCCATACTGATTTCTCTCAAGCAAAAGGTCCATATGTGTTGCTGTATTTTTTAGATGTTAGAAACTCCTTAAAGCTTATTGCATTATGTGTTAAAAGACCCTGACACCTGACGAATTGCACCAGGAGAGCTGTGATCTCCAAATTCTAGATGTAGTTTTTTATTAGGCTGAAGCTCTTTAGGAAAGCTTTCTGCCCACTGCTTTGCATGCTGGCAGCTGGAACTAGCACAAAACTCCACAGAACTTGGTTGGCTTTGATAGTTGTGGGGCAGGTGAGGGGCAAGGAAGAAAGTGTGGGAGCAATGGATGTCTTGTTGGAAGCATGGGAGGCAGGTAGAAACCTGCTAGGAACAAGGAGGTTTCAATCATAGGGTAATTCAATTTGAAGGAACCTCAGGAAGCCTCCAGTCCTATCTCCTGCATCAAGCAGAGTCAGCTGAGGAGCTGTTCTTCATCCAGTTTGGTATTAAAAATCTCAAAAGATACACAGCCTCTATGGACAGCCTTTTCCAGCGCTTGACTGTCCCGTGCAGAAGAACACAAGCTTTCTGGGCCTGATTTGCTGACAGTGACAGGGGTAAGACTCGGGAGTTGGTGAGGACTCTGCTTTCCACCTCAGCATGGCTTACCTTCCTCTGCAAGCCTTCCTGTCAGTAAACCAAGCGCTGGAGTTGATGAGGTCCCCCCTGGCCAGGCGAGACCTTGTAGCTGCTGTTCTGCATGGAAAAATGTCTTTCTGATCTCTTGTGGGGAAAGGGCTGAGGCTTTTTAGCTGTAGTCCAGTTCTCCAGAGGTAACCTGATGGTTGGACTAGATGATCGTAGGGGTCTTTTCCAACCTCAATTAATCAGTGATTCCAAGCAAGCTGCTTGCTCATGCTGACCTTTAAGTAGCTGGCAGGGTGTTCCAGAAGGCTGAGAGAAGCTGAGGCTGCGTTAGAGCCATGTGAAGGAGAGACCCCCATGGTAGGGCAACAACATCCCACTGGGTCACAGATGGAAGGAATTTGGGGACAATGTACAGTAGCAGAGTTGGCTTGTGCTCATTGTCTGACAGAGCCTAGGGCACAGCATTTAGCTCTTCTCTTCTTGCCCTCTTTGCAGCTTGCATCTTTCTGTCTCGCACCCTTTGCTTAATTAGTTTGTCAGCCACTGTCACCATAGCAGAGGAGTCTGCAGAGTGCCCAGCAGAGCACAGCCCTCACTGCAGCTACAGTAGTTGGGCTCTGCCGTCACACAAGTGATAGCTTAATAAACCACAGCGTTGCAGATGAGATATCTTTGCACTGGCTGCAGCTACTTATTAAAATAGGGACAGAGGGGAGGGAAAAAAAAAACACAACAAGAAATAGAGGATTAAAAAAAAAAAAAAAGTTAAAATAATGAATAGCTTTGCTTCTAATGCTGGAGACCTTGGTGAAAATTTCTAATCCCCAAGGAAAAAAAAATAGATTGAAGTTTGACCTAGTATTTGTCATCATCTTGAACTTGGTTTTCTCTTCTGGTTCCAGCCTCAAGTCTGAAAGTGCAGAGTTATTTCTGGTTGGCCTGAGCACCAGTGAGTGATTTGTGGGGAGAAACTCAAACTGTGTGAAGACAAATGAAACCTGAACCAACCCAGTTAAATTAACTCTGCATCTTGGAGCAAATTGAACTTCTCTCTTATTTAAAGGGCTCTGATGAGTTTCATGTTCCTGTCAGCATTATTTTGAAGCCTTTCTGTGGTCCGAGGCAACGAGAGTGGTTCTTTTTGCTCTGAGTATTGGCTCCCTGCAGAGAAGGCATCCTTTGATTGCCTTCAGATGCCTATTACAGATTGTCTGCTCAGTCATTCTGCCATCCAGAATCCTTCAGCCAGAGCTGGAAACTGGGGCGGTCTTCAAGGAGGCTCCTACCTACACATCTGAGTCACAAAGACGAGTCTGGCCCAGGTTAGGAAAAGCCCTTAACAAAAGGATGGTGTGGTGCATGGGAATTGTTGAGTTATGGCCTGCACCACTGACTGATCACCTGGAGAAAGGACCAGTCAGCCCTGGGAGCACAGGTGTAGGCAATTCAGCTGTGTGACTGGCAAGGGTGGAGCCTGGCTGCACCTCTCTTAGATCCCATTTAAGGGCTGACTGCCACTGGGGAAGGTTCTCTTGCTGGAGATCCCTCCCTTGTGGAGTCTTTCCTGTGAGCCTAGATCTTCAGAGACAGGTGAGCATCTTTCCTTTTCTTTTGTAACACTGTTCCATTTATGCTAGTCCCTTAGTTGTTACATTCCTGTATCAACCTTCCACTGCATTAATCTGTCTGGTTGTAATGCATGGGTGTACTGTGGTGTCCTGTCCCATGCACCTTGCATAACTGCTATTACTTTTTCCTGCAGAACATCCTCAAGTGCCTGCACTAAATGAAATGAATTCCAGACTATGAGTCTAATTCTTCCACCAACACCAGGATAGCAGCAGGAAACAAAGGCCTTGGGAATGTGATTTTACTCTCTTCAGCCAGTGGCCAGGGAGTGAAAAACTCAGAGGAGGTTCACTTCTATCAGTGAGGATGTGAGATTTCATTTCTGGCTGACAGCACTCTTAATCCCACTTTTTTATTGATGAAGAATCTCTGGGTGCCACAACAGTTTCTCAGTTTCCCCAGACAGCAATTGACCTTGTCTCAGCTGTGCATCAAGATGCACTTGCAATCAAGGTGCTATTGATTTAAACCTAATGGCCAGCTGCTCAGGATTTTCACCTGGAAAAGAAAAATCAATACCACTTTATTATTATTATTAGCTCTGTATGTGGTATAATGGAAAGGTATAAGAGTCTCACCAGCTCCTTACCATTAAGCCCAACAGTTGCAGGGCTGAGAACGTTGGGTCAGGCTGTGGTAAAGTAGCCAACTAGCAAAATGACATGAGGGATAAACAATTTTCCTTGACTGAATGCTGCCATCCACATCTCTCTTTCCTGACCTTCCCCGAGGCATGCAGGCTGTGCTGCTATGTGGGACCCCAGAGAGAATGTCTTGAGTGATGCATTTGCTCCTCCATATTGCTGGAGGAGCTATGTGTGGGAAGGATGTCTCTTGTTTTGTCCTTTCCTCATTTCAGATGCTTTCTTCCTCCCTCCCCCATCCCAGGGGGAAAGTGTCATTCAGAATCTGCAAAATTGGTTTACTAGACTGGTTTAAATGCACATCTGGTAGCACTGGACAGATAAATGTTTAGGTCCTTGGTAGGACTAAGCAAACACCACAGGCTCTCTCCTATCTATGAATGAGACAAATTAAGATCCATCCTGTTATTTGCAAGATAAATGGTCCAGCATTGACTGGTATGATGATAATGTCCTTAAGTTGCACCGGGGAGGTTCAGGTTGTATATTAGGAGAAGTTCCTTCTTAGAAAGGGTGGTGATGCACTGGCACAGGTTGCTCAGGGAGGTGGTGGAGTGGAGTTGCTGTCCCTGGAGGTGTCCAAGAACTGCGGAGATGTGGTATGGAGGGATGTGGTGGGGATGGGGTGATGGTCACAGTGATCTTACTAGTCTCTCCAACCTTAATGATTCTATGGCTGTGTTCCATATGGTGAAATTCTTACTTACCAAAACAGGTGGTTTTGTCTTTTATGCCTCTGAGGAACATGCATGGCACTTATTTACTTCAGGGTAGATACTGCCTTGGAGAAGGCGTAGGCTCAAGAGGGTAGGCTGTTGGCCATGCTAATACTTTACTGGTGTTTACTTATTACTCCCTTTACTAGGGAGTCTGTACATAGCTGTCCTTAGGTCTTTGGAATAGTAGAGATATCAGTTGTAGAGTTCCAAAGGCATCATGAACAGTTCTTTCTCAGGACTTTATGGCATCCTATCTGTCAACACCCCAAAGACTTTTAAGGCCAGATTAGATGGGGCCCTGGGCAGCCTGGTCTAGCATTAGGTGGGAAGGTTGGTGGCCCTGCATGTGGCAGGGGGGTTGGAGATTCATGATCCTTGAGGTCCCTTCCATCCCTGGCAATTCTGTGATTCTGTGACTTTGAAGTTAAGTTACCTTTTCAAATATCTTCCTTGTACTTAGTCATTTACAAAAGGGGCTTGACTCCTGTCTCACACAGGCCGGTGAACAATGGAAAGCAAGGAGTGGCTTGGGACAGTACTAAATCCTGACAAGACAATCCTATTGACTTCCTGAAGTGCTTCCATGTCTCATATCACTTGGACATGCTGAAGCATTTTTTCCCGTGTCTTCTCTTTATTTGTTTCCTCTTGCTCTTGAGGAGTGTGAGAAGAACTAAAGGATGGCTTTTGTTTCCAGTGACTTTGTAGTGTCCCATGCATCTTTAAAGAGATGACAGTGACCTTTCCTCAAAGTCCAACCCTCCCAAGATGGAGCAAGATTACTACTCAAAATTACATGAGGAAAATGCACCAGCTAGCTCTGGTGTTGTGATGTGTGCAGATCTTCATTTGCACCAATCCAGAGTGAGAATTTTCCCTGAAGATGGCATAGCTGTCAATGAAATGCCTGGGGTGAAACTTGCATTTCCAGAGTCAAGCATTATCTGGATGATATGTGAATGTAGAAAAAACATGAAGGGAATCTGACAGTGCAGCTCAAAGGCACTGTCAGATAAAGCTGCTTTAAAAGACATCTTCCCAAGTGCTACTCAAGTCAGGCATACACATTTGTTGGGATTATGTGAGCACATCAGAATTCAAGACCTAACCATGCTTTGCTTCAGCCATTGATGTAGTGACCAAATTATTGCTCTGTTTATTTGTTTTTTTTTTTTTTTTCTGGGAGGGCGTCTGTTTGGGTTGTACATCTTCCCATTACTACATCTGTGGCAGTACCATAGCAAATTTTCTGCTGACCTCAGCTTGCTTGAACAAATGCTGGGGCTGAGATGCTTCTGAGAAGGTTGGCAGCACCAAGTGAAGTCTCTCTGACTTTAGCAGGGTTAACAGTTTGTGCCACATGTCAGGGAGCCTTTCACGCTTTCTGCACTGTCTCAAGGGGAATCCAGCAAAGACTTGAGAGAATTTACTTGCTGAGTTTTAATCAGCAATTTTTGGTGAAGTATTTTCTTTTTGTTTCTTTGATAGGGGAAGGAGCAGGAATGATTGTGGGCAAACTGTTAGATGACAGATGGATCACCTAAGTAAGTGACCCCACCAAACCTGGATAAAGCAACAGCTATTGTCAACTTAGTTTGTGACTAGTCTCCACTCTGGAGACTCCTAAATGATGGAAACAGGAGTGCCCAGTAGCCCACGTGAGACCGTGCACATTGGCACTGCTCTGTGGGGTCATTATGTTTGCAGAATGGAAGAATGGTATTTCTGCGAGCACCAGTCCTGAGCCAAATGTGTGGCACATTGATCTCTCCACTCACTCTTACCTGCCAAACTTTGCTTGCTTCTAAAGCAGCTACACCTTACCAGTATGTCTGTGCTGGCACAAGCTTAGTTATTTAGTGTAATCCTGCCATGAATGGAAGGATAGTCCTCCATTAATTTAGCACAGGAAATTTTAGCCACACAAGGAAAGGAGGCTTCTTTGGAAAGACAGGCTACTTGCTCCTAAGAGGGATTTAAGTCTTTAGGACTAAGCATTTGGGGAAACAGTCCAAGTTTGCAGGCTAAATTGCACATTGGTATGATTTTGCCAACATTTGGGGCTGAGAGTAGTACAGTGGAAATTCCACAGGATCCCACTATAGTGTATCTTCGCTTGTGCAGTTTTCCTGTCAGTTCACCTAGAACAACTTCTAAACTATTTGCCGATACAATAAAATAGGTTTTCTACATGTTAAACCAAGTGCCATGAATGCAGGTGTTGCAACACACTTAGGTCAGCTTTTTTTGTACATTAAAAGAGTTTCTTGCTTCATTCCTGGTCTAAGAGCAGAAGAGCAGCTCTTAATGGTTTAGATGTCTCTTGCAAGCCAGAGGCTCGTTGTTGCTATGATGGATACATGTTTCAAAAAGCATTTTCTTTCAGTTGCACCTGACCGAAAACAGTAAGAAAGTATTTGGGCTGGGAAACAGTACTTTTAACCTTTTGAACTACCTTTGATCTTCATACATTAATGCAGTCCACACAAAGTGAAGCCTGGTTGGTTCTGTGAAGAAATAGACAACAGTCATTGTTCCTTTGTAAAATGCTGAAAAGTAAGAAGTCCTGAGGCTCAAGAAATTGTGCCTCTATTTCTTCTAGGTGAATCTGGGGCTGGGTCTGCTGACTGGTCTCATCACAGACCTTAATTCTGTCACCACAGGTCAGTCTCTGAGGCTGTGGAAGAAGTGGCTTTCTTTAAGTTAATTTAAAGAGAGCTGCCTCCTTGTTTTTCCTGCAATTGAGTTTTGAAGGGGCATCAAAGCACTTGACAAGGTTGGAGGTTGGCTGCAGAGAATGACAGCTGAACGCATCAGCTGCCCTGCCCTTCGTAATTGCAGCTTTTCCAGAACTGAAAATGCTTTCTTTGTCTTTTATCTTTGTATTTCGTTTTGTTTTTCCCCATCTCCCTTATCAGAGCATTCAAAGAAAGGGAACATTATCCTTAGAATGACTGTAGGGTATATGTGAAGATGGAGGGAGTTCGTAGCCCTCCTCTGACGTGGCCCTTCATTACCAAGACATCTTGAGAAGCCCTCTGTCACCACACGTTGCCACCTGCTCCTATTCACCTCATGGTATTTTATAAGTTGTTTGACTTTTCAAATGGGGATATATTTGGATAGTTAGGGCAAGGTGTGCACATGTATCGGGCTATATTTTCTCATGAGGTAGTACAAAAGACAAGCTGATTTGGGTGCTTTCATGTGTTATTCATTACCTACATCCTCACCTTGGTGTCTATCTTCTTTCTTTCTTCAGGAGAATGGAGGCCACTGCCCCAGTGTGACCTGTATCTACAGCACAACATAATATAGACCACCATCCTACTCTCTGACACCTCCCAGTATGGATGGTTTGGTTGAGCAGAACAATGTGCTCATGCACAATAAGATTGCTGAGGCCGGGAAAAGGAATGGTTTAATTAATACAAGGAACTTAGTAGCAGAGAGCCGAGATGGTCTGGTGTCGGTGTACCCAACCCCACAGTATCAGAGCCACCGAGCAGGGAGTTCCCCGAGCTGCCTGGAGAATGGCAGGAATGACCCCGTGCAGCAGCTCCTGGATCCCAACATGCTGCAGCAGACCGTGGAGTCCCATTACCGTCCCAACATCATCCTCTACTCGGAGAATGTGCTGCGCTCGTGGGGTGAGAGCATCAATTCAGAGTGCTGCGAAACCACGTTCATCGAGGACCGCTCCCCTACCAAGGACAGCCTGGAGTATCCAGACAGCAAATTCATCGATCTCTCAGCAGATGACATCAAGATTCACACCCTGTCCTATGATGTGGAGGAGGAGGAGGATTTCCAGGAGCTAGAGGTCAGATGTCACATGGGATCTGTGGGGGAGGATGTATCTGGGCTGAAGTGTACAGCTTCTGGGTGCTGGTTTTCATGGGATCAGATGTATTGCTCTCTCCTCCAGCCAGGACAGGGAGAATTGTTCAACTTTAGTTGCAGGGTAGAGTCCTGGCTCCACAGAGGCTAATGCATCTGAGTAGGCTGGTCACAAACTAAAGATGACCCATACACTTAAACACTGGGAAAGTTGAGGCCTGAAGCATCTGTCCCGTGCATGAAGTTGATTTTACTCAGCAGGCCAGCATCACTTGTTATTTTCTCTTGATTTGAGTTGGATATAAAACTGGTTGTTTTGCATACTGGCTCAAACATTAAACCTGTTCATCTGTGAACACAAAACTAGGAATCTTTGGGTTTCTAGCTACAACGAATCCTATGCGCCTGAATAAGATTTTTTCTGATGCAGTGAAACACTTCATTAGACTCCAAATGCAATGTTTTCTTTTAGGTTCCTGTGCTTCATTGATTGGTTGCACTAAAGTAATATAAATTTTGTTCTCCAAATGGGGTACACTGGAAATCAACTTCATTCTTTCTTAAATGGTGCATTTTCTACTTCAGAAAATCCTGGCTGCGCTAGCTGCCCGAAGACAACACATTTTATTTGCCAGTGGGAGTGGAGGGTGCCCATGCTGTTGTAGATCTCCAAACTTTCTCAGCATTAGTCACAGACTCCTAAGCTAGCAAAGCCCATTTGGCTGACTGGAGCAAAAACATTGCTTCTACCTGAATGTCCAAGAGGTGTTCAGGAAGATATTTTCCTGTGTTTCTCTCTCGTGGGGTTTTCTCCATTGAAAGCTAATAGGTCCTAAAACTTCTATTTTCACCTCCTTTAATATCAGTGTCTCACCCTGTGCAGGGGCAGCTCAGCAAGAGGCTGGCTTCCCTTTGGTTCTCTTCTCTCTGTATTGCTCAGGTAAGCAGAGAGAGGTGCTTTTCACAGCGTGCGCTGGTAATGCGGTATTCAATACCTCCACGGGGAGACAGGAAGTTTCTCTTTGAGGCCTGTAGTGGTGTTAGCTCAAATCACGCCCTTCTATAGTATTTCAAAGCTGGCTGTGGGAAGCCTCATTTTTAAAATCAAAACAAAAGGCTGAGATGCTGCCTTTTTTTTTTTTTCTAGCTTTCCTCACGCAGCAGTTGTGGTGCAAGTGACTGCAGCAGGCACGAAACTGCCTAATGATGTATTGTCACGTCTGGCCTAACTCTGAGGCAGAAAGAAAGAAAATACTTTGTTTTCTATAGGATGAGAGGTAATGGCCTTAGGTTGCACCAGGACAGGTTCAAATTTGAAATTAGGAAAAATTTCTTCTTAGGGTGTTGTGGCACTGGCACAGGCTGCCCAAGGAGGTGGTGGAGACCCTGGAGATGTTTGAGAGCTGTAGGTTGTTGCACTGAGGGATGTGATTAGTGAGCATGGTGGGGATGGGTTGGTGGTTAGAATAAATGATCTTAGTGATCTTTTCCAGCATTAATGACTTTATGATTATTGTCAACCCAAATCCAGCAAGAGCTTCTTGAGTCAATTGTCAGAGAATGGGCTAAAAATGACCAGGACAATATGCAGGACAATGAAGAAATATTTTGTACCAAAAATGTCTTCTCCTTTCCTGGTGGAATTTTTAAAGTGACTTTACAGTGTAGGGCCCTTAATATGTTGGAACCACAGAACTTGGATCAGCTTTCCACAGAAAAGATTTCCTAGTAAAACTCCTATGAAAGTGAAGGTCTGGGGAAAGGACATCACCCTTCCCCTCCCAGATTTCCACAGGGAAAGAAGAGTGTTCATCTCCCCATCTCTGCAAATGTTTTAACATGCTGTAACAGCTCGTGCATCATGTTCCCAGGGTCCTTCTTTTTGTTTTACGGTGAGAATAATACAGAGGATGCCCATCCTGACCTACCCATACAAGGTGCTCAGGGGAGTCAAGTGTGTACACAGTGTGCATCCACACAGCTCCCTCTGTTCTGAATTGGGATTTCTCCTCCACCAGGAGAATGAAGGAAGGAGAAGAAAATGAGGCAATGTCTGAGGAAGGACCTACTTGACTGGAAACACGTGCATTGTTAGAATTGCTAGAAGCCTCTCCTTCTAGCCCACTTTCAGTCTGTATTTTGGTGCTGCATAACCAGCCCAGTGCAGTTTTCACTCTGGTTTTCACACCTCTGCAAAACCAGACCCACATTAGCAACCTACTGAGTAGCTGTGCTCAGCATGAGGGTTCTCAGCATGCGGAGTAAATGGTGGCAACCCAAGAAGGCCCAGATTCTGCAGTTGGTACTATGGGAAGATCAGGAGAGGAGGAGAGAGGTGCTCAAGAGAACAAGACCAGCAGAAAGGGATAACTGTTGTGCTGTGGTCTTCTGGTCTCCACCTAGGCAGATGCTGTATCAACAGGGCCAGATGCACGAGGGACACCTGGGCTTGGATAGTACAGAGGTTTACCAGAGATGTAGCTGTACATCCTTTTCTTTTTTTCCAGGAATGGAAAAACATTGTTTGAGGACAGCAGTCACTGAGCGGGGGAATGAAGCATACTGGATCATTAACTACATAAAAAATTGCCTATCTGTTCAAATAAGAAATATAGCATCTGAATCACACAGCATGCATCTGGTCCAGCAGAATGCTTTTTTCCCCACCCGTTACTGACAAGAAGGAAATGCTTGTTTAAATTACTAATGCACTCAAAATGGAGTGAAAAGGTTCAGTACAGGGACTGGGAGCAGAATTTAGGAGAACAGCAAGAGAGGATAATACAGAAGAGGTGTAGGGTTTTGCTTCCACACCAAGACACTCAAAGGATTTTTTTCCCTCATCCAGGGTACACAGCATATTGCTGAGTACCTTGCCACGCTGACTGTCTTGCCACAGTTCATAGGAACTGCATAGCATAAGAGCAAATTGAAGCTCAGTTTTCATAAGGCTTCTTTGTCTTTGGTATTCCCTTCAGAGGGGGAAACAACAAAAAGATCACCCTTTTTCAAGACTTAGCAAAGAGGAAAGCTTCATGCAGAAAAGCTGTTGTGTTTTGGTCTCCTTGAAAGCTGGGGGCTACCACCTTGCCCTGCATACCCAGGCAAGGTGAGTGGATTCCCAAGTCGGGCATCTCTGTGAAAGTCTTTCAGGGGGACAGAACAAGCTTGGAGCTGAGTTGTTCCCTTTTTGGCACTGATTTGTTCATGCAAAGCACCTGCCTAGCGGGTGTTGCAGCTGGGTATTTAGTTGTTTGGAAATATGGAAAAATCCAACTCAGCCCTTTGTAATGAGCTCCACTGTGTAATACTTAATTGGAGTCCATGGACACATGCAAGGAGCAGCTTTTATGGACTCTGCAGCTCAATGTGTTTCTGCCAGTGTTTGCTTTTTGAAGAGCGTTAGGTTTCTGACAACCAGGAATATTGTTGTTTTTCTGCAAGAAACTTTGCCACAGACACATTCTCTGGAGAAAGCCAGCTGTTTTGACTGACAGCAGTGTGGCTCTGGTTTGAAGTGACATCCCAGCCAGGCTGCAGGGCTTGCTGCTTTGCTGCCTGCCATCCTCTTCAGAATAGGTTTGTTCAGATCATCAATGTTTTCAACAACCTGCCTGCAAGAAGGCATCTTATTCCTCTCCCCAAGTCTGGGGACTCTGAAAAATCCCAGGAGATGTGGCAGAGGAGCAGGATGCATGCAACAGAGTGATCCTGCCATTTGCTGGCTGCAGCACTGTGGGCACCTTAACTTTTGTGTTTCCTTACCATCCGTGTTCCTCAGGTCCTGGTGTAATGCTATTCAAACTGCATATGGAAATCATAATCTGCAAAGAAAACCATCTCTGAAACAGCTCTTATTAGCACGTATAGCCCCATTTTGCTCCAGCATTCACCAGGCATGAAAGCAGAATACTGTGCATTCTGTCAAAGATTTAAACTTCTTTCTCTGCCGATCCTTGAAATCAAACGATTCTGTTCTTAAGTATCTCTGGAACTCTTATAAATATCTTATGAGTCCTTTACATCACAATTAATAGACAGACAACTTGTCAAATGTAGTGGCAGTGAATATGTAATAGTTCCTAGCTGAAATATCCTCCTGTTAGAGCTCATGTGCAAATACAGTGCTATCCAGAAACATCATTTGTCATATTAACGCACTGGCTACTCTTCCTCCTGGCCCCTGGATAAATGGCTTATTTAGAGGAAACCGAGCTATTGATGGCAGAAAATTGAATTATTCATATGTGTCACATAAAAGAATACACCTCAGCTCTCTCTTAAACCTCTTTTTCTCCAACAATGTCTGAAACAGTCTCTGGAAAGTGAAATAAATGGAAAGAAGAAAAGAAATGTTGGGCTTTCAAGCTAAGTATTCCTTTTTTTTTTCCCCCTCTATGAATTTCTGGCTGCTTCTGTAAGAACTCATCCCTTTGACATGAGCATAAAAACACAGAGATGGAAAGTGGATCCTAAGACATGTCTTGTTCCATTTAACTGCTCCTCACATCATATCCAAGCACCTCCTGGCTGGATCTCTCTTGCGATACAAAGAGAAGACCACAAATAGGATTTATGTGAATTAAACCCCATGACATGCATGTTTTCTCTTAACCCTGCCAGACTGCACAGGCAGGTTTAATGTTTGAGCCGGTATGCAGAACAACCAGTTTTATATCCAACTCAAATCAAGAGAAAGTAACGAGTGATGCTGGCCTCCTAAGTAAAACCAGCTCCATGTACGGGACAGGCAGCACTGGGATGAGACTCATACAATCAGTGGAAGCCATGTTTGGTTTGGGAGGGACCTTAAAGACTATGGGCAGGGCTGCTAACCATTAAATCAGGCACCAGACTGCCCAGCTTCTCTGAGCAGCAGTGTCAGTACCTCACTGCCCTCTGAGTGAAGAATTTCCCCCTGACATCTGTGGTGCCCTCAGCCTTCCCTGGGATCAGAAATCTAGAAAGTGTGTTTGAACAGCCCTGGGAGGTGTCTGCCCCCTGGAAAGAAGCTCTGTAAAGGCTACGAAAACTGAGTGGCAGATATGTTTCAATGTAAATAAATGAAAATAAATATGTTTATAGAAAAATAATGAAATTCATGTGGACTCAATGCTGAGCTTGTATCTATGAGCTGCAGCTCAGGGAAGAAACTGGTCTCAGAGCAGGGAGTGCAGAGGCCAAGCTGATAAGTCAGCAAAATATTGGATATGGTGAAGAAGAAGTTATCAGGGATGAGATAGGGTGCTGGCAGCATTTTGTTGATGTCCGAAAGCTCACTGTAACCCGCTTTCCGTGATACATGTATTTGTGGTCCCCGCTTCTGAAGGAGATAACGGAGATAGATAAGAGCAACAAAATCGTAGAATATCCTGAGTTGGAAGGCATCCATGAGGACTTCAACCCAATTCCCTGCTCCACATTGCACCACCCAAACCCGGTGTCTGAGAGTGATGTCCAGACGCTTCACGAACTCTGGCAAGTTCCCTGGGTAGATTGTTCCAGTGCCCAACCTTCCTTTCAACAAAGAACCTGTCCCTAACACAGATAACAGAGAATTTTTCTTCACATCTGAGGCAGCAATTAGACTGATTCATGGACAAAGAACCCATAGAGAGGTATTAAAAGAAATTGGTACAGCTTTTCTTGCTAATATCTTTCAAGCAACAGTTGTGGATGCTGGAAGAGCACAAGGGGTGGATGTGCAGTGTCCAGGTTTACACGAGCTCCCTGCAGAGTACGTCCTGCTGCTGCTGTCAGAGCAGGGCCCAGGGCTTGATGGACCATTGACCCAACTCCACAGGACACACTTTATGTCCCTTTGCCTTCATAGACAAATTATTAACAGGCTACAGGAGTGGGTCAGCTGTAAGACAAAAAGAGGGCATTGGTGGATGCTGACTCCCCTAGGTTGAGCTGTGTAATGTTACTCTTTCAGTTAATGCGCCTCAGGGAATAGAGGTATCTCCCTAATCTTGTTGTGCAGCTGGTCCACCTGCAGTCACAAGAGTGCTGTGATCCACGAGTACCTTCCAATGGATGCAGAGGGCTGTTGGATGGGAGCCCCTGTCACTCACGCTCAGATTAGGGATATTTACTTTATGGCTGTTATTACTGCTCCTCAGGATAAAGAGTGTGATTTAGGAGACTATGGCAGCTGGCCTGGTCTTGTATGGATTTGTTTATTGCTGTCAGTGGTAATCCCCTTCCAGAAGCAATGTGTTGAATGCATGCTGCTGATGAGCTGTAGATAGACTGGCTGTGGGTGTCTAGAGAGCATCATGAGCAGTTGATCAAAATCCAGGGGCACGGGAGAAAGAATGGATTTGGACATATTCATCAAGGACTTTTTTCTTCCTGAAACATTTTGGCTTTGTAAAGTTAAGCATGAAAAGATTTCCAATCAAGGAAAGAGACCTGTGAGCCCACTCTGGACAGCTGGCTGCTTGACTGACGCTGTATGTTAGTCTGGGAGCTGGGGAAGCAAGAGTTTGGACCAGGTCAGGACAATGGATTGTTTAAATACCTTTAAAAGTGAATGGGAGCAACTGCAAAATTCCAAATGGTAAAAATAAAATAAAATAAAAAAACAATAAACAGGCAAATAAATAAAGCATTGCCAGGCCAAAAGAATCCATGATGGCAACAGGTTTTAGATGCATAATAACCTGCTAAGGAAGCATCAGCCAGATGCTGCTCAGTGAGAAGTAAGTGTGCTGAGGCGAGCGGTAATAAACTACAACCACTGGTGGGAGAGCTGCCATCCAGCACACTGCCATCACCATCTGCTGCATTTAGGTGAACTCAGACTGCCTGCAGAAGAGCAAAAGGATGCAGAGTGCTGGTCAGAATAGGGCACCGTGTTGACCGCGTCACCAAAACAGGCATTGTGGGGAGGGAACTAGAGCACATATTGTCTTATAGTTACGTTGTGTTGGTCCTTGTCGAAAACTGACTCCTGAACCATCTGGATTTGAAGCAGATTTCAAAGGGCCATGCCAGAGATTAGTTTTGTATGCAGCGTGTGTGCGACTGAAATGATTGCTTTGAAGGGAAAAAAGGAGTGATACCAAAAGGGCTGTTTCCTGAAAATCCATCAAAGACTGCAGGCAGCCGTGGTTCACAGCAGAGCTCATTGTCTGACTTCTCTAGCGTGAGCTGCATTTTTCTGCTGGAAGGGACTGTGTGGCCACCAAGTCCAGCCTCCAGCATGCCACTGGCACCCAGGACAGGTTTTCTAGAGAGCCTTTGCTCACTCACAACTTCTTGATTCAGGTAAAGCACACAGCTTTTAGGGATAGCTAGCTTCAATTTTAAAAAGGGCTTGGTATAATAGAAAATCCATTACAGCTGCAGAAAAAAGCGTGCAGAAAACCATCCCTGTTAAAAATCTGCACCTTATGTCAGTTCTTCATCTGCTTTGCTTTCACTTACTGGGGTTTCTTGTGTTTTTTTCTGCTGAACACCAGAGCTGTCTGATCAGAAATTGCCTACTCACAGAGCCACTTAAAGAATGTGAGGAAATTGCATCTTAAATTTATCTCACAAGAGAAGTTGTTCTTTCTACCTTCTTCCCTTGTGAATGATTTTCTGTGGCATGACGCCTGGACCTGATTTTTTTATTCTGAATTTCTCTATCTCTGGGAAATAGACCCCTCCCTTCTCCCAGCAAAATTTATTTCTCCTCTTTATTCACTGTCACAATTACAGTTTTTGCAACAGTCCTCTTTCTGCCTTGTGAAGGCTGCAGAGAGCAGCTCATTTGGCACAGGGAATGATTATGGACCTCACTGAGATTATGTCTTTCATGTCACAATCTTGCATGCTGTTGTTGCTTGGCAGCCCATTATCTTCTAGTCCATTGATACTTACTTGTGTGGGTCCTGAATATCAGAGTACAAATGCTCCCAGAACTGACCACGTGCATGATTGAGATGGCACACCAGAAACTATCCCCCTTGAGTGCTAGAGGTCTATTTTGGAAACGTCCTGGGGCACTCGGTGGTATTACTATGAGTGGATGATCACAGCCTCGGTCCATGAAAGAGAAGTAATATCATTAATCAGCACTTCTACATTTCTCTCTTGCTTTTCCAGAGTGACTATTCAAGTGACACTGAAAGTGAAGACAATTTCCTAATGATGCCACCAAGAGATCATCTTGGCCTCACTGTGTTCTCCATGCTCTGCTGCTTCTGGCCATTGGGAATTGCTGCCTTTTACCTGTCTCATGAGGTAATGCTAAAACATATCCTGTTAATCTATGGTTTTGCATCCACAAAGTAGCCATCATCTCACACTAGCAAGGAAAGGTCACCAAGAACCACCTGTGGGCAGAACAGTATTTCAGGATGCTGGGAGGTGGTTAAACAGAGTATTGTGTGTGGGACTGCCTTCGTAAATCTGTGTGATGGAGGTGGTTGTCTTGTGAGGCATTCTAGTGAGCAAGTAGTCTGTAACATATTTTTGGTTTAACTGACAATATTCAGATTCCACGTCTGATTATGCAACATCAACTTAGGGTATTCTCTAGGTCTGACTTGTGAGTGGAAAGCACCCTTGCTATATCAAACATTCAGATTTTCCGTTGCAAAAATTCATTTATTAGTTGCCAAACCGATCGTCTTGAAAAGAAAACTGACAGCAGAAAATTCATTTCTGTTCCACGGAAATGGATTTTCTTCCCAGGGAAATTTCCTTTTGCCATGAAAAATTGCTCAACCTGTACTTCTTGTCCAATTTTGACACAGAAGTACTTTTTTATTAATCAGAAAAGCAACGATGTTTCAGTTTATTTCCTCCATGAGACAGTCTTGTTTATTCCAGCCTGTGCCTAACAACCACCTAATGCCCCATCATTTATTTCAACAAGTATGTCTTCAGTAATGCCTGCAGAGCAATTATTGAGTTTCCCAGCATGGCTGATAATGTAACATGACAGAAGAGTGACGCTAGAAGTCTGTTCTTTGACTACAAGGAAACATTCAGTTATATTTCTATCTGCTGATGGTAGAAGTGCCCACTGGAAACTCTACTCGGTACTCCACGGCACCAAAATTATTCAT